CAACTCCTCAACCTCTCCTTCTTCTCCAGACCGGGAGCTACCTTCTGTCTTCACCAGCTTCCCTACCTTAGACTTCAGAGAACATTCTAATGCTTTCAGCACCCTTCCTGACCTTCTACCACATCTCCAACTCAGGTTCCCTATGATTCTGTTTCTCTGCTCACCCACTGAGGGACAGGCACAGAGCCACACTACTAAGGCCCACTCCAAATCCACACCGCCCAGGTACAAGAGGGTCCGTCCTGTTGCTCTTTCCCCATCAGCTTTTCCCAAAGCTGTCATTTTAAACCATTCCCATTCTTCTTAAGTCTTCAACTCCACCCGACCTTCTTAGCTATGTGCTATCTGCTGAGAAGACTGAAGGCATCTGTACCGGGTGTCTATTTCCCGCCCCCATTAGACTGAAGTTCTCTGTTACTTCCTCCTAACTGCCCTGCTGTCTCAAATGTCGGTTCTTTCCGCCCTTTCGCATGTGCTCTTCAGCCACTTCTCCGGTCTCAATAAGGACCCTGATTCCTATCATCCTTACACTTTCACTATCGCTTTTTGCTCTGCCTTCTTATCTCTTGTTAAAAAAACAAGCTGTATCTAAGCTCTCTTTCTTTCACGACCAGACTCCCAGAAAGGGCAGACTCCACTCACAGGCCTGCACGTAAACCTAGCAATCCTCTCCCAAGCCCGACCTCCACCCTTCTGAAGCGCTCTCAAGTCCTCTCAACCGCCAAGTCCAATGGCTTTTCTTGGCCTGCATCCTTCTTGACTCTCCTGTGGCACCTACACTCAACATAATCAAAACTGAACTGAGTAGTCCTCTCCTTCCGTTCCCACCATTGCTGACTGCTTTTTCATTTTTCCCAGTTAAGCCAAAATCTCTTGGTCATCATTGCCTCAATTTAGTTATCAAGTTTTTCTTCCTTCCACCCGGTCATGTCTGTGCCATTCAATTCCGCCCTCTCTGTTGCCATGACAGATAAACAGCCTCCCTGTTTAACTCCATGTACTTCAGATAAGACACTGCACCGATCTCCCAGCCTCTCCCCTCCCAGACTCGTGAAAATCTAGCAAATAAAATTCAAATATCTTAGCCTGAGAATTAAGGCCCTCTAAGAACTGGACCGAGATTATATTTCTAGACACCATGACCTTCCCGTCTTCCATTTCATTTCATGTATTTCACATTTCCTCTGGACTCTGGGAGAATTCATAGTTCCCAGAAGCCACCCCACATTTTCTTACCTTCATTCCTGAATCAAGCCAGTCTATCCATGTGTAACGTCCAACATTGTTTTTACTTATTGAAATCTTTTTTTTAATTGAAATCTTTTTTTTTTTTTCATTCAAGATGTGGTAGAGATGCCATCTTTTCCTAAAGGTAGTTTTAAGTTATTCATTCCTCCCCTGAACTTCCAGAGTTCAAATATGCTAGTATCTTTCTTACTTCCTCTTATTTCATATTCTTTTAGGTTCTAGTTACCTGTGTACTGGCTGGCCTCTTTGTCCTTATTAGATTTCAAGTTCTTGAGGACAGTGATGATGATGATAATAATAATTGTAATAATAATCACCACCACCATTATAAGCTCCTACCATATTCCAGCTCTGTGAAAGCATGACTCCATTTCAGCAGCCCTCTGAGGACTGTCTCCACTTTCAGATGTGATTAAATAATGTGCCCAAGGCCAACACTCAGGAGTGGTAGAGCCAGGAATTGAAGTTACGCTTGTCTGACTTTAAAAGCCATGCTCTTAACTACTATGCGGTATTTCTCATCATCTATATACTTGACCAATAATCATGGAATAAGATATCCACTCCATAAGTCCTAATAGGTGGACTTAGCCAGGTTCCCCTAAGTGGCTGAGCCTACATGATCAACAAATACAATTATAGGGAGAAGAAACAGATAGCTTAGGGCCTAACTCTTAAAGGATGATTTCAAAAAATGGAACAAAGTTTTTATGCCTCAAGACTAAACAGAATATCAGATGCAATGTGGGAGAAACATCTGTATCACCTGGATTAGGTAATACCTTGACCTGGTCTCCTTCCTTGGAATCATTGATGTCAGTAAGGCAATGAATCAAGGCCACTCCAAAAGCCTTACTTAGATCATTTAAACCACATTTAGAGAATGCCTTCAAAATTCTAATTTCTGAAACTCTGATATCAGCCATGAGAAAACATGATAATTGTACTCTGCCGGTATAGTCAAGACAAATGTAAATGTGGGGTCCTATTTTATACACACACAGGTAAATGACATATGACACACACAGGTATCAGTGTAAAGTAAAGCGGTGGTTGTTGCTCTCTACACGTAAGCGGCTAAGGCCTGTAATCCTCCAAGAGGAATGTCATTATACAGCTCAAATCCCATCACAACAAATACCGTTACAACAGAGATGTCTGTATAACAAAAACCCTTTCAGGCTTTGGCTGACAGCCCACGTACTTCTAGCAATATTTGATGTGAGACTTGGAGTTCACAGTAATGGAAATTGACCTATCTTTCCAAAGGTAAGATTTGAATGATTTCATCTGTAGCTTCTATCCCATGATACCATGAGTTGGCGTGATGTACAATCTAAACCCATGAGCATAAAAACTGAACACAAAGACAGAAACAAATCAACCCTGCTCTTAAAGGGCAAAATTCCCTTTTGTTCACCTGGGGAACACTGTGGTCAAGGAGAAGGCCTCTCACCCAACCCTGAAATGGGGCAGAGCAAGGCTGGTGTGTGGCCTGACCTCATGGAGAAGCAAGCTGGTGTACGTAGCACATGAAGACGGATGGACTGCCCTCAAATTTCTACTCTACCTCTTTCTAGCTGTGCAAACTGGGCTAACATTTCTTAACTTTTTTTCTGAGCCTCCTCTGCAAAATGTGGCTAATATCACCTACTTTCAGGATTTCAGTAAGAACTACAGAAGAGAACATATGTAAAACTTCTCACATAGGACTTGGTACAGAGCATGGGCTCAAAAAGCCCAAACCAGGTGTCCCTTTTCCTCTAAGACCGTGGGCTTATGCAAACTATTTTAATGAAGTTAGTTACAAAACCCAGTGAAAGAAGTTAATGAAGTGTATAGTCTCAAACATACCCTGATGAAGAGACTGCTCCGAGGAACATCAGGAAAAAAGAGAGAATATGGTAGAAGAACTAGGCCGTGTACAAGTACTCACTCGACTGAGAGAAAGGTCTTTCTGGCTAAAGTAACACATGTAGAATACAAAGATAAAATGCAAGTAACCAGGCATCATAGCAAGAAATGAGCTTTGAGCATTCTACCAGAGGACATGTTGAAAAATGCGGACTTCACTAAAATTTGGAGGCACATTTTCCTAGCCAAGGATGAAGGGTGGCTGTTGCTCTGAAGCACTAGTTTCCTGCCTCTGGCCTAGTTTCCTGTGGGTGTCATTCTGCACGGTAGGGGGGCCCTCATTTGCTAAGTCCAGGCCAGGGCATTATACTGTCTTTCCTAAGTAGGATACTGTAGGGGTTAAGTATCAAAAACCAAATTCTAGTATTTTCCATTTGGGAAACATGTAGGTAAACAGTTTAGGAATATGACTCAGAAAGGCTCTTTCAACGTTGTCCTAATTTGTGATGGGTTTAATCCTTCTGTTTTATATACCTAATGTCCTATTTTTCAAGTTTAGGGACAACCAAGTGTGTGGCAACAAAATTTTATGTATGTTCTTTTGAAAGTACTCTTGGTGTTACTGTACATGATTATATTTTGAGATAGAAAATGAGAGCCTTAGGAACGGAATCGGAAGGTATGTTTGCTCACCTTTATAAAATACGTGTTAGGCTTTTACATTTCTTAAAAGGTTCTAAAAATCCTATCAGGCCTCTGCAACTATAGGGCACAAGAGATGACCCCTTTCTCAGAGTCACCACCATCAGGGTTTTAATCGTTACTTAGTCCCATCCCTTCACCTTGACAGTAAGAAAGAGGCTCAGAGACAAGTGTGTGCTCATGTTTATGTGCTCCCTAATGAGCTTGCAGGAGCTCTTGTGAGAGGCTACAAAGAAATAAAATAACAGGCCGGACAGAGATAGGAAGATATAGAGAAAAAGGAAATGTGGACCCGCAGAAAGACAGAGGAGCCCTGGGCAGAAAGACCAAGAGATCAAGAACAGAGAAAGAACAAAATTACTAAAGCAAGGTTAACATATCAACAGAGACCAAGTGGCAGCAGAGGAGTTAAATTCAGTCTGCACAGAGCTTGCAAAGGACGACTCTCATACACTGAAGCTTCAATGTGGTGCAGAGGCTTCTGGCTTCTCTCTATTTTAATAACTGTCCCCCCACCCTCCCAACATCACCCTCATCTTAAAATGGAGGCAGGAGAAACCACCAGATTGTACACGTGAGTCTTAGCACTGGTAAGGGCGTAAACCACAAGCATTTGGAAGGTGTGCTAACTATCTCAGGCCACTAGGGTGTTACTTCCCGCCCCCGATGGCATACTTCACCTAAAGATGTCCATCTAGACCCCAATAATTGATATCCCTCCTAAAAGTGTACCCTTTATTCCTTAGACCAGTGGGATCACACCAACTGTTTATAAGGCATCTCAGGATCCCCACGGGCTATGGAAAAGTGAAATGCAATTGTAATTACATGAGCAATAATGGGAAGGTAGGGGCAGAAAGAGTTACTCCTGAAATGCAAGACTAGAAACACGATTCCTTAGAGAGGCAGGCACTCCACTGGGGAAGAGGAGCCTGCGCTGCCTAGAAAGTGACCTCGGGAGAGCAATCACGCGCCTGGACAGAGGCGCGGCCGCGCCCCTCCCTCCGCTCCTCCTTTCCTGCGTCCCAGGCCCGCTCCGTCCACCTGCCCGGAA